TTGCAGATCTCTATTTAAATCATCGTTTGGGCCAGGTATAGGGGCTCACGCCTGTAATCCCAACATTTGCAGAGGCCGGGGCAGGTGGATTGCTTGAGCTTAGGGGTTTGAGACCAGCTGGGCAATATGGCAAAACTCCATATCTACAAAAATTACAAAATATTATCCAGATATGGTGGTGCGTGCCCGTGGTCTCAGCTACTCAGGAGGCTGAGGTCAGAAGACAGCTTGAGTCCAGGAGGTTGATGTTGCGGTGAGCTGAGACTGTGCCACTGAACTCCAGCCTGGGCGACAAAGCAAGATCCTGTGTCAAAAAAAAGCATCGTTTTCCTCTATTCAAGTGTGTTTTAAACTATGGAGAAGAAAATGGACATGGGCACACATTTCTGGCAGGGTTTAAATCGTGAAATACACAGTTTAGAGAAGAGATTATTTTCCATAGTGATCAGGCATTCATCACAAAGGAGGGACAGCTGACTATGTCAAAATATAATTGCCAGGTAAATATTTTCTTGACTACAAAGTGATGATATAGGGTGTTACTCAGATAGGGAGGCGTTTCAATTAAGCCGCTACTTTTTCTTCATTTTTTCAGTTCTGATCTGTAGACAGATGCAGCTGTCACTGATGCAGAGCCAAGGTTTTCAGGACCTTTCCTTGTCACTAATAGGAAACTGCCCTCTTCCCACAAAGGTCCGAGATTGGCAGGTACAGTGAGCCCTGACAAGACTACAACTTGTCGATTTCTCACGTATGTAGTTCTGAAATCAAAACCTCTCTCTCAGAAGTCTCTCAGGGCTGGAGAGCCTGGCCCGTGGTGGGTAGATAGTCTTCCTGCATTGCATGGGCCAAGGAGCTCAGGCTCAGGGAATTTCCGTAAGAATTGGAACTTGTAACCAGGCTCTGAAGTCCCATCTTCTCTCTTCTAGATTGGATTGCTTTCTTATTGACTTGATATGTTGAAAACAGCACCTCATTGGGAATCAAAAATCGCATCAAGTTTTCTTTTCTTTCTCTCTCTCTTTTTTTTTTGCATTGACTATATCAGCCCTTAGTTTATTCTAGACAAGTAAGAAATAGTTTGTTCCATTTTTTTCCCAGGTTCTAGTTATTATGCTAATTCTACATTCTTTTAAAAAGATTTTTAGCATCAAGTTCTCTGTGGCTTTGGGTATTTTATCATCTCTAGACCTAAGGCTAGAGGTTTTGAAGGAGTACCTAAGTCCTCTTCTGTAAATTGGGATAGCAGTCATGTCTGGTGTGTCCACAGCCCCTCACAATTTCTCTAATCTCATTGGATCTAGACTTCTCTCACTAGGCTCCTAAGAATTAAAGTCTCTTCCATCCACAAGGAGATGAGGCCATTGCTGAGTGAATGGAGAAGTAAGGGATCTCCGGTGCTGCTGCTCAACTCAGCCTCTCCCCGCCCCAGAATAAAAGAGGCAGAGAACACAGAGAGTGTGGTGTGGGTCTGGGCCACACAGGACAGTGGATAGATCGCGACTGTCATGGTGGCAATAGCAGGAGAGTCACGCTAAAGAGAAGCTGGACAGAGCAGGGCCCTGAAGAGCAACTTCTTGACTTTCCTTTGGTCTATGCAAACTGCCATTTACTCATCCATCCATCCATCCATCCATCCTTCATTAAGTCCAAACTGTGCCCCAAGCACACAGTGGAGAATTAAAGTTAACTAAGATGAGATGGATCCCTTCCCTCCTAAGGTGTCAGAGTGGGTAAGGGTGTTGGTTTGGGCACCAACAACCTCAGTTTGTCTTCCAGCTCTGTCATTTCCTTGGGCAAACTCTTTAACCTCTCTGTGACTCAATTTCCCTATGTATAAAATTGGAATAATAGTAGTCCATATTAAAGCGATGCTCAGAGGATTATGTGAAATAATTTAGGTAAAGCACTTAGCATAAGGCATGGCACAGAATCAGTATTCCATAAGCATCAGCTATTGTATTACCACTAAGTGATGAGGCAGATATGTCAATAATTAGCTATTAGCTAACCTGGAGCCCTAGTATTTGGATCCCACTGAAGGAAGCTGGAGTATTCAGGCAGGAAACAGGCACCAAAACAGAAAGGAGACAAGATGATCCAAAATGGCACCAAGGCATGTGTATCTTTTTTGTTTTTTTTCCTTTGCCTTCTACTTGGACAAAAAAATAAGCATACAGAAAAGTCCCCATGAGAGGAGAATTCAGATGCCATGAAAATGTAGAGGGTACTCACACAAAGCCAAGCAGGTCCACCTGTGACCTCCATCTTTCAAAGAAGCCTGTGAGATAGGTACTGTCTACCACCTGTACTAGCTGCCTGGCGCTACTGCAACAAATACCATAAACTGGGGTGTTTCAAACAACAGAGATGTATTTTCTTGCAGTTCTGAAGCCCAGAGATCTGAAATTAGTATTGCAGGGCTGTAATCAAGGTGTTGGCAGGTGTATCTGTTTGTTAAGGTTGCCATAACAAAGAACCACAGACTGGGCAGCTTAAAAGACAGAAATTTACTTTCTCATGGTTCCTGAGGCTGGAAGTCCAAGATCAAGGTGTTGGTGGGGCTTTTCTCCTGAGGCCTATCTCCTGGGCTTGCAGGTGGCTCCTGCTCACTTCTATATCCTCACGTGGTCTTTCCTCTGTGTATACACATCCCTGCTGTTTTCTTTCTTTCTTTCTTTTCTTCCTTCTTTCCTTCCTTCCTTCCTTCCTTCCTTCCTTCCTTCCTTCCTTCCTTCCTTCCTTCCTTCCTTTCTTTCTTTCTTTCTTTCTTTCTTTCTTTCTTTCTTTCTTTCTTTCTTTCTTTCTTTCTTTCTTTCTTTCTTCTTTCTCTCTCTCTCTCTCTCTTTCCTTCCTTCCTTCTTTCTCTCCTTCCTTCCCTCCCTCCCTCTCTCTCTTTCTCTCTTTCTCTCTCCTTCCTTCCTTTCTTTTCTTGAGATGAAGTTTTGCTTTGTCGCCCAGGCTGGAGTGCAGTGTCACTATCTCAGCTCACTGCAACCTCTGCCTCCCAGGTTCAAGCGATTCTCCTGCCTCAGCCTTCTGTCCCTTCTTCTTCTTATAAGGACATTGGCCACATGTGGTGGCTCATGCCTGTAATCCCAGCACTTCATGAGGCCGAGGCAGGCAGATCACCTGAGGCCAGAAGCTCGAGGCTAGCCTGGTCTCTACTAAAAATACAAAAATTAGTGGCGTGTGGTGGCATGAGCCTGTAATCCCAGCTACTCGGGAGGCTGAAGCAGGAGAATCACTTGAACTGGGGAGGTGGAGGTTGCAGTGAGCCAAGATCATGCCACTGCACTCCAGGCTGGATGACAAGAGTAAGACTCAGTCTCAACAACAAAAAAAAAGAAAGTAAAAAAAAGGAAATCAGTCTCATTGAATCAGAGTCCCACCCTAACAACTTCATTTTAACTCACACACCTCTTTAAAGACCTTATCTCCAAATATACCTACACTCTGAGGCACTGGGGGTTGGGCTTCAACATATTACTTTGTAGGTGGTGACACAATTCAGCCCATAACAACAGGACCATGCTTCCTTGGGAGGCCCTAAGACAAAATCAGTCCTTGCTTCTTCCGCAGCCTGGTGACTGCTGGTGTTCTTTGACTTGTGGCCACATCACTCCAATCTCTGTCTCTAGGGCCACTTAGACTCCCTCTTTTGTGTATGTCATCTGCCTCTACTTCCCTCTTACAAGGACATTTGTGGTGGCCTTTGGGGGTTCCACCAGAATAATCTTTTTATCTCAGGATCCTTAACTTAGTTATATCTACAGAGACCCTTTTTCCAAATAAGGTAACATTTGTATGTTCCAGAAATTCGGATTTGAATATCCTTGGCGTAGGGCATTTTAAGCCCCCCAAAACTGAGGCTCTGTAGAATGAAACAACCTGCCCAATGTTATGGAGATAACAGAGGCAGGTTTCCAAACACAGGGGACTGAGCTCAGTGCACAGTTCCTTCCAGTGCATGTATTAATAGCTGCACCCTGTTGAAAGCAGGATGAGAGATGGACCCTGCTAAGGAGGAGGCCAGAGTTTTTCCTCCAGAGAGGAGGACAGAAGCTCAGCAGAGACTATGGGACCAGAGAATCATATTTGTGGTCAAGCAAGTTCCTAGAAGCAAGGAGTGTGACATGAGCCTCAGATCCAGAGAAGTGGAATTTATCTTGGAGAATGACTCAGGCGCAAAGGGCCAGGGCTGCCAGAATAGCACCGGGGTAGTGACTCTGGGCAGGCTGCAGCTGAGCCGGTGTTTACTGTCTTCAGGAATGAAGTGGTGGGCAGGGAAGAACTTGCTGTGTCTCAAGCACAGAGAGTGAGAGGTACCCAGGCTCAATGAGGGTGGCCGCCTGCACAGTGGTTTGGATCCTGGTGTGGCAGGGGCACGGCGGGGGAGGGGGTTGGGGATAGGGTCAGGGATTCGGACAGGTGCTTTTCTGTTTGAGAAACATGCTTGCTACAAGCACAAGGAGCAGGTAGCATGACCAACCCACTCCAGTTTGCCGGGGACTTTCCCTGTGTAAGCACTGAAACTCCCATGTGCCAGGAAGCCCCTTTTTCCTGGACACACAGACACATCTGGTCACTGTACCTCCAGTGCTCATTTGAGTGCAATGAGTGCCCCAAATCTATTTCACATGGCAAGGCCATGGCCATGGCTCTGAAACCAACCTGAAGGGGACAGGAAAGGCAATTTAGCTCTGCAAATTGCCCCAAAACAAGGAATATAAAAAAAGATGTGGCCGGGCGAGGTAGCTCACATCTGTAATCCCAGCACCTTTGGGAGGCTGAGGTGGGTGAATCATTTGAACTCAAGAGTTTGAGACCAGCCTGGCTGACATGGTGAAATCCCGTTTCTACTAAAAATACAAAAAATGAGCCAGGAGTGCGCCTGCAGTCCCAGCTACTCGGGGGTCTGAGGCAGGAGAATCACTTAAACCTGGGAAGCAGAGGTTGCAGTGAGCTGAAATCGTGCCACTGCACTCCAGCCTGGCCAACAGTGAGATTCTGTCTTAAAAAAAAAAAAAAAGGTGCATTCGTTGTGTATGAGCTTGGCTGCCCTGACAGAGACTGTAAGTAACAGTGGCTTAGATGTAGTAGAAGGTCATTGTTCTTCCACTTAACAGCTGGGGCTTACACAAGTCAGAGCCGGCGTGGCAGCTCCGTGAGCAGGGTTCCCTCTGTCAGGTTGCTGCACCTTCTCTAGGGTGTCACCCTCGTGCGCATGACCTACCACCTCCATGCTCCTCACCGTCCTCTGCCCTCTCAGCATTTCCTCTCCATGGAAACAGTTCCATATGTTACAGTTCCCCTCTGTAAATGTCTAGAGAGCTTTCTGCTTTCCTAATTGGATGCTGACTGATACAACCTGTGACCTCAAAATGATAAGAGGTACAGAGAGAACATGGGCAAAGAAATGCCACAGACATAGCCGTGGCAGACACATCTCAAGAAGCGAGACCAGAAAGGGGAGAATGGGCATTGATGGCCAGATCTGACATGGGAGAAGCATCTTCTGGCTGTTGTTCATAAACAGGTAGTCTGAGCTGCAGAGTGGAGCTTGGGTGGAGGCTGCAATTATGGGATCCTGAGTGGAGGCTCCACAGATGGAAGTGGACTCAGGCAGCGGGCAGGGCTGAGCTGGGTAAGGAGATTGGCTGGAGAAAGCAGGGGTGAAGCCGGGAAGGGTCAGCAAGGGGCAGGCAGTGGAGCAGTCAGAAAGCCCTGCCTGGATGTTGGAAAGAGGAGGGGAGAGCAGCAGAATCAGTAAGGAGAGGTGAGAGGCTCCCGGATGAAGAGGGAAGTTAGCAGGGCACCAGTGAAAATCCCGGTTATGGGCTGATTTGTGTCCCCCCAAAATTCCTATGCTAAAGACCTAACCCCAGTACCTTAGAATGTACTTAGAGACAAAACCTTTAAAGAGGTGATTAAGTTAAAATGAGGTCATTAAGGTGACCCCTATTCCGATCTGACTGGTATCTTTATAAGAAGAAATAAGCAGCCTGACCAACATGGTGAAACCCTGTGTCTACTAAAAATACAAAACTTAGCTGGGCGTGGTGGTGTGCTCCTGTAATCTCAGTTACTCAGGAGGCTGAGGCAGAAGACTCGCTTGAACCCAGGACGCACAGGTTGCAGTGAGTTGAGATTGCACCATTGCACTCCAGCCTGGGTGACAGACCAAGACTCCATCTCAGGAAAAAAAAAAAAAAAAGGAAATGGGGACACAGAAATGTACAGAGGGAAGATGCTGTGAAGATGCAGGAAGAAGATGGTATCTACAAGCCAAGGACCATCGAGATCTTGGAAGACAACAACTCCACTGACACCTTGATCTTGGACTTTCAGCTTCCAGAACTGTAAAAATAAAACTTATGTTGTTTATAGAACAATCTCCTGACCTCGGTCTATGCTGTTTGTTACAGCAGCCCAAGCTGACTGATACAGTCCCTTACTTATTAGCATATGTTGAATTCTTCCCAGCACCTATTTCTAGGAGCATTTTGCCTGATCAAACTTTTTTTCTTCTTTCTCTTTATTTTCTTTTAAATTTTAGAAACAAAGTTTAAAATGCATATAAGGATTTGGAAATATAGATGTCCTTGTTATGCAGGATAAACAACTGTGACATATTTTTCTCATTTGTTTCAAGCGTTTTTGATAAAATAATTAAACATTTTGATGATAAAGTTTGACCACAGCCCTCAGCCCTTTCTTCTCTCCTTCTTCAGAGGCAGTCACTATCAAGGAGCTGTTGTGGATTCTTTCAATCCATGTGTCCGTGAAGAGCATCTGCTATTGGTTTGTGTGGGTTTTTAATTTTTTGCATTCATGACACATGTATTGTGAACTTTGACTCTATCACTTCCAAACCTCATGTATGGTACTTCCCAAAGTATAGCCAGCAAATCATGGTACAAGACATGTTAACTGGTACAGATCTAGTGAGGCATTAAAGAACATTGAATGGGTTGGGCATGGTGGTTCATGACTGTAATCTCAGCACTTTGAGAGACTGAAGTGGGAGCATCACTTGAGGCCAAGAGTTCAAGACCAGCCTAGGCAACAAAGGGAGACCACATCTCTACGAAAAAATACAAAAATTAGCCGGGTATGGTGGCATGTGCCTGTAGTCTCAACTACTCAGGAGGCTGAGGTGGGAGGATGCTGGAGGCTAGGAGTTGGAGGTTACAGTGAGCCATGATCACCCACTGCACTCCAGCCTGGTGACAGAGTGAGACCCTGTCTCCAAACAAACAAACAGACCAAAAACTATTGAATTAAATAATGACATATTATTCCCTGCAGAGTAAGTTTTGAGGGTGCTAAGTATTAAACACTTGCTAATTTCCTTCCTTAACAAAGAGGAAGTACAGACTCCAAGCTAGCCAAGTTTTCCAGCTAGATTTTCATACCACTGTCATTTTCCATGTGTTTATTTATTTGTTTACTTATTTTTTGAGACAGTCTTGCTCTGTTGCCCAGGCTGGAGTGCAGTGGTGCAATTTTGGCTCACTGTAACCTCCACCTCCCAGGTTCAAGTAATTCTCATGCCTCAGCCTCCCAAGTCACTGGGGCTACAACAGGCACATGCCACCACGCACAGCTAATTTTTGTATTTTTAGTAGAGATGGGGTTTTGCCATGTTGGCCAGGTTTGTCTCGATCTCCTGGCCTAAATTGATCCACCCACCTTGGTCTTTCAAAGTGCTGGGATTATAGGTATGAGCCACTGTACCTGGTCCATGTATTTATTTTTTATGATTAGTTTCTATTTAAGATGAACAATATTCATCTTTCATTTTTGACACTAGAATAAAGCTACCCTATAAAGTAAATTTATTAAAGTGTAAAAATTAGGTAGATTTAAATTTAAAATATTAAGCCAATAGTGGTACACATGGCATGTGAATATTGAAAATTAGTGAAGGGTATTCATGAATAGGATTTTGGGAAAAGATGAAACCTACACTTACTGAGCACTCTGACTGCCACTGGCACTATAGAATGCATTCCATATGCAATTTGTTGTAATCATATGACCACCCTGAGGAAGGGATGATTAGTCCCCTTTGGCAAATTAGGAAACTGAGGCCCAGGGGGGTTATGTAAGTGGCTGAGCTAGATTTTCATACCACGGTCCTTTTTCCATGTGTTTATCTGAACTCTTGTGCCTAGGCTATGCATAATGTCTGAAGTCTTGTTTGTAAGATGAGGCTTAAGGCGCACCTGATCTAATGACTTCAAAGGGCTGCCCAGGGGTCTGCATAAGGCAAGGATGCTGTCATGCTTTGAAACATGCTGTCAGAGTAGCTTCATGGCACGCGCTAATGCAGAAGGACCTGTGCTTGGGTTTGATGTTCTGTTATTGCCTTCTCGAGAACGTTAATACTTTTTCTTTTCTTTTGTTTTTGAGATGGAGTTTCACTCTTGTTGCCCAGGCTGGAGTGCAATGCATGATCTCGGCTCACTGCAACCTCCGCCTTCCAGGTTCAAGCGATTCTCCTGCCTCAGCCTCCCCAGTGGCTGGGATTACAGGCTCCTGCCACCATTTCCGGCTGATTTTTGTATTTTTAGTACAGACAGAGTTTCGCCATGTTGGTCAGGCTGGTCTTGAACTCCTGACCTCAGGTGATCCACCCGCCTCAGCCTCCCAAACTGCTGGGATTACAGGCGTGAGCCACCGCGCCTGGCTTAATACTTTTTCTTTAGCTGTGTTTATAATTCAAGTCCAATGGGATAATGCACAGGAGGCTTGAAGCCTCATCTCACCTACAGTCCACCCCCGACTGTCTCCCTGAGATGGGTTTTCTACAGCCCACTCTGGCCTCCCCCTCCGCACCCCAACTCCATAGTGGTGGCTCCCCTCTACCCAGTGTGTTGATGGGCCACATTCCACCATTAGTCCATGCTGGCCTGGGTGAAGACACAGACAGGGCATGTTCCGCAGTATTTCACATGGGGCAAGGTTACATCCCTCCCCAGGCTTGCAATGCTGTGGCTTTTGCAGTGGACACCTGAGTACAAGCCTCTCACTCACCTTCATTCCAGAGACCCTGGCACCCTGGCATCCTGGTGTCAAGTTTGCAACCCCTGGGGAGATCGCCTGTCCTCTACAGTTTGAGGCAGTAGCTCACCCACAGGAAGAGGAGCTCTACTTCCCCATCCCCTGCCGGGCTCTGCTTCCCATTTTGCTTTTGGCCTTACAAATTATGTAGTCGGCCCTGAATGCAGTACAAGTATAAGGAAGTACCTAACATGTGTGTCCATGGGTGTGCTGTGTGTGTCCATGTGGAAAAGCAAGAAGACAAAGGGAAAAGCCCAGGAGGAAGGAAGGGCCTTCTCTTCCTTCAGGAAACCTCCAGGGCAGGGGAAGCCACAGAGAAACAGCAGAGCACACATGACTGCTGCCCCAAACAGCAGCTCTCCTCTCCAATCATCAGCTTGCTCTGGGCCTATGTTTATGCATCTGCAAAATGAGGGGTCTGGGAATGGGATGGAAATGGGAATCTGGACTCTCTCCCCAGAAAAATGGAGATGTGACATGGGCCTTTAAACCATCACAGCTGCCCCACTGATGTGCCTGTGAAACTCACTGATGTACCTGTGAACCTCACTGATGGACCCCAGGGGCTCCAAGTTAGGAATCCCAGGACTGGAGGGTCTCTGACGTTCGTCCTGGGATCCAGCCAGGCAGGAAGAAGCAAACACCCTAAGAAGGCTGAGTGGATGGGAGACGGACTGAAGTGTAAAAGGCACCAACTGAGACAGAAGAGAAAAGTTTAAGTGAGATCCGTGAAACGGGCAGAGTAATGAAGATGGCAGAGTGCAATGGTTATAAAATCCCCTGGGAAACTAGGCATGCAATTAAAAAGAAAGAAAAGAGGAAAGACAAAGGAAGTCCATCTCCACAGAGTAGAAAGTGACAGGTGAGCAGAGGTGGCTCATGAGATGTGTGCACTAACAGCCCCTGGGGACGTTACCTGAATTCCACGGTGGGAGTGACGGCTCTGCCAGCCTGCTCTCTGATGGGCCACTGGAAGGCTATCTGGGGCCAGCTGGCCAAAGCTCTGGGTGGACACCAGCTTCAAAGAAAGCCACTCCAGGGCCCTGGGGTAAAGGAGAGGAGAACAGTGAAGTGAGTGAAGCCACAGACGGCATGACAAGTGGCGGGAGATGAGCAGGTAAATGATCCAGACAGCGCTGGGCGTGGTGGCTCACGCTGTAATCCCAGCACTTTGGGAGGCTGAGGCGGGTGGATCACCTGAGGTCAAGAGTTTGAGACCAGCCTGGCCAATATGGTGAAACCTGGTCTCTACTAAAAATACAAAAATTAGCTGGGCGTGGTGGCGCATGCCTATAATCCCAGCTACTCAGGAACCTGAGGCAAGAGAATTGCTTGAACCCAGGAGACAGAGGTTGCAGTGAGCTGCGGAGATTGCACCATTCCACTCCAGTCTGGGCAACAGAGCAAGACTCCGTCTCAAAAAAAAAAAAAAAAAAGAAAAAGAAATGATCCAGACAGTGGAGGCATGACACAAGGGAGAAGGGCCAAAACATCGGGGAAATTTCTCATATTCACAGATGTGATCAGTGGATGTTTTTGGTTTTGGGAGAAGACATGAAGGCTTGTGTTACATATTTTGTAATTTAATTGCATAATTTGTGCAAAATTCAAAACTCATATAAAACAAGACCAAATGTTATTTCCGGATACCTGGATTGAAAAAGAAGGTTCGGAGAGGAGTGGACCAGGCTGAACACATGAGTGGAATAATTTTTTCCAGAGTGCAGGCCCCCATGAGAGCTAGAACCAGCAGATCAAGAAGAGGGTTTGGACTCAGCCCTGGGTTTAAATCTGTCCTCTGCCACCCTGAGCACTGTGATTGTCGTTATTTAAGTTATTTAAATTGCAGTTTCATTGGTTCGTCAAAAGGGGAAAGTAATACTTGTCATGCCTGTACCACAGGGTGGTTTACAGGCTCTTATGGAAAAAATGTGTGTGTAATAGCTTTTTAAGCTGTAAATCACTTCCAGTGCAAGACGTTATTTCTTTGCTCATTTATTTGTTTATTACCAGTCCAAGTGCTCTCATTATCCCAGCTAAACATAGTGTTTTCACAAAGTTAAACAAAGTTAAAGCACTATAATAATTCAGTCCACTCTGTCCTTCATTTTATGACTGTCATCAGGGGAACATGGGCTGGAATGGGGCTTTATCTAGTCATTCTTCCATTTCTTTATTCTTTTATTGGATCCATCATTCGTTCAACACACAGTAACTGAGACCCTGCTGAGGGCCAGACGTCCCACAACTCACCAGGGGAATGAGTGCACGTGGCATTGTCTTTCTTGGCGGAGCTTGTTGGCTAGTGAGGGTTTTATATCCCATTAAGAGAGAGAAAGGGGCTGAACGCGGTGGCTCACGCCTGTAATCCCAGCACTTTGGGAGGCCGAGGCGAGTGGATCACCTGAGGTCAGGAGTTCAAGACTGGGCTGACCAACATGGAGAAAACCTGTCTCTACTAAAAATACAAAATTGGCTTGGCGTGGTGGCACATGCTTGTAATCCCAGCTACTCGGGAGGCTGAGACAGGTGAATGGCTTGAACCCAGGAGGTGGAGGTTTCGGTGAGCCGAGATCGTGCCATTGCACTCCAGCCTGGGCAACAAGAGGGAAACTTGGTCTAAAAAAGAAGGAGAGAGAGAAAGAAAGAAAGGAACTCTCCCCACCTCCATTCACACTGAAGCTCATCTAAGTTCTATTTTAATTTTGCCAAACCAAAGCAGATTGTCCTCTGTTTCTAGAGATTAATTTGACGTCTGCCTGGGCCTCTGCTGGCTTTCCTCATTTTAGTTTTCCTGAGACCCGTCAGTTTTCTGCGTGGTGTGTAAATTAACACCATCCTTGGAAAGACTTCTTTTAATTTTTTGATTTGTCACAGCTATGGAATATGATACCCTCTCCTTAAGCTGTAAACTCCTTAAGGATAAAAGCCTTGTTTCTCCCAAATTCCCCCAGACTCTAATTCCCACAGCTCAAAATATATTGGAGTGCTGGCCATGGAGTCTTCATCGCTCTAGGGGAGCCGATACTCAGGAAGGATGCATCCACATTTCTCCTTTATCTGCTGCTTCCTCAGGGTGACTTCCTGAGCCAGAGCTGGGAACATGAAAAGCTGAGTCTCAGCCACGGTCATGCCCTCAGCCAGGTCGATCACAGCCGGCTGGAGAAGTTCACCCAGGGGCTGTAGGAAATACTGCCAAGACTGAAGGAGTGGAGCATCTGTCCATGTGGGATGTGGGTACAGTCCCAGGGGAGGGTGTCACAGGTTTCTTATGGCCACATACTGTGGAACACAGCAGAGACGATACTTAAAACGAGAGCTAGATCTTGATGCCTTCTCTAAACTATTTGCTTAAAAAAATAATAATCTCCTGGCAAGGTGCGGTAGCTCACTCCTATAATCCTAGCACTTTGGGAGGCTGAGGTGGGCAGATCACTTGAGGGTCAGGAGATCAAGACCAGCCTGGCCAACACGGTGAAACCCCGTCTCTACTAAAAATACCAAAATTAGCCGGGCGTGGTGGCACATGCCTGTAATCCCAGCTACTTGGGAGACTGAGTCAAGTAGCTGGGATTACAGGAGTGTGCCACCACGCCCGGCTAATTTTGGTATTTTTAGTAGAGACGGGGGGTTTCACCAAGGTAGGAGAATTGCTTGATCTGGGAGGTGGAGGTTGCAGTGAGCAGAGATCGCGCCACTGCACTCTAGCTTGGGCAACAGAGTGAGGCTCCATGTCATAAATAAATAAATAAATAAATAAATAAATAAATAAATAAAATCTCCTGGTAATCTCTCCCATGCTAGCTCCACCCCAAAGCATATCTCATCCAACTGAGCCCCTCCCCACTGCTCCCTCCTGTGGTTTTTCCCCCTTCTCTCTAGTCTCTTCCATTGCTGACATCCTAAGGTTTCATTTTTTCCTTTTTTTTCTAAGCAAAGACTCATGCAGCTGGTTTCTTTCCCAGGCATGCTCAGGCCCATCTACTCTTCCGCTTAGCCCAAATACTTGTGCACCAGGAGCTGTTCTTCCCCGGAAAACTTCACCTCCTCACCTCCTGAGACAGGAGGGCAGCCAGCTTATGGCTCCTCTGTGGTCCTAATTTCTGCGTGACTGTTCTGCTCCCATCAACTAAATGCCTTTTCTTGGTTGTTCATTGTGATAAAAATATACATACCATAAAAATAAGTTGCAATAGCCTTTAACTTGAGTTAATGGCATGCTCACTCCACAAATATCACAGAGGCTGTAGGCAGGAGACCAACAGAGCCTCAGACCTGGTTGTACAGGACTGGTTCATAGAGACCGAATTGAATTGATATACCATTTCTGAGCGTAACTCTCACGATCCTGCGTTGGCAATGCCTCACTCTACCCCAACCCCAAACACTGCCCCAACCCCAGGCAAGGGACAAACGTATCAGAGAGTGAGTGTCTACCCCTCACGAAGTCTTACCAACGTGGGAAATGGTTAAAAGGGGCACATGGGCTTCTGGGATTCAGTGAAGCTCAGCAGATTGGCTTTCAAGACTCACGGACTTTAGT